TGCTCTCCTCAAGTTTTCTATGTAAGAATGATGTTTTGAGGTCCATTTGCAAAAACTCCAAATCATTCTTAGCCACCAATCCAAGTAAAGCTCGAATAGAACTATACTTCGCAACTAGTGAGAACACATCCGTAAAAAATCAACACCCGAAATCTGACTGTAGCCTTTTGCCGCCAATCTAGCCTTATATCTAGCATCTTCAATCCCTGATATGCCTTCCTTTATTTTGAACACCCATTTACAACGAACCACTATTTTTCCTTTAGGTAATTTCACTAAATCTCAAGTGTTATTTTTGTTCAATGACTCAATCTGCTCCTGCATAGCAATCATCTATTTGCTAGAATCACTACAACTAACTGCCTCTGAATATGTAGCAGGCTCCTCAGTGGAATCAATGTCTTCAGTTTCACTCAATGCATAAGCTATCAAATATGTTTCCCCATACTTCTGTGGAGGTCTAATCTATCAGCGAGGTCTATCTTTAGCAATAGAATAACGTGTTGCTGGTGATGTAGGCAAAGTAGGCATGATATTAATGTCTGTCAATCCTGAACTGGACTCATCGGTAGTAGGCTGTTCTACAACCTCTAATTGTTTCTCTAAACAAATTTCCAACTATATCTGAGTTGAATAATTCAGCTCCTCAACTTTATCAGAATCCCCAAGAGGTGAGCCATGAACCATAGCAAGTTCATCAAATACTACATTCCTACTAACAACCACCTTTCTAGTCTCTGGACACCACAACTTATATCCCTTCACACCAGATTTATACCCAAGAAAAATACACTTTCTAGACCTAAACTCCAACTTCCCATTATCTACATGAGCATAAGCTGGACACCCAAAAATTCCAAATCAGAATAGTAAGAAGGTTTACCAGACCATACATCTTCTGGTGTCTTTTCATCAATGGAAGCTGTAGTATTTGCTTTAGCCCAAAAAGACTTAGGTAACCCAGAATTTGAAAGCATACAATGAACATTTTCCATCAAGGTCATGTTCATCCGTTTTGCCACACCATTTTGTTGAGGAGTTCCAAGTACTGTCAAATGTCTCAAGATGTCTTCAGCCCTATAGAAGCTATTGAGTTCATATGAGCAAAAGTCCAACCCATTATCAGTGCGTAGACATTTCACTTGCTTTCCGGTTTGCTTCTCTACCAATGTTTTCCACTCCTTGAAGGTCTCAAACACATCACTCTTCTGCTTCAAGAAGAATACCCAAACTTTCCTGGAGCAGTCATCAATTACTATCAACAAGTAATAATAGCCACCTTTAGATGGTACCTTGNAATAATAGCCACCTTTAGATGGTACGCTGGTTGGTCCCCAAAGATTTGAATGGATATATTCAAGTGTTCCCTTCGTGTTGTGTCTTCCTTTAGTGAATCTGACTCTTTTTTGTTTCCCAAAGACACAATCTTACAAAATTCAATTTTGCTGGTCTTCTGCCAATCAAGAAGTCCCCTTTTACTTAGCTCCGCCATCCCATTATCACTTATATGCCTGAGCCTCATATGCCAAAGTTTTGTAACTTCATCATCCGTCAAAGAAGAAATAGAAATTGTTGCATTCCCAATTACTGTGGAACCGTGCAAAATGTACAGCTGTATAGAGTTTTTATGCCCCTTCATTGCAACAAGAGCACCCATGCTCACCTTCGAAACTCCACCTTCACCGATGTATCTGTAGTCCTTTGAGTCAAGTATATTAAAAAATATGAGATTCCGCTTTAGTTCTGGGACATGTCTTACATCTGTAAGTGTTCTAACAACTCTATCGAACATCCTGATTCTGACTGTACCAACTCCACCAATCTTGCAAGGCGCGTTG